GAGACCCTGTCTCCAAAACAAAACAAATATAAATTAGATTTTTCAAAATTGGGAAAAACAGTTTCAAAATACAGCCAAAGATGCTCTCATTTGATGTGATACTAGCTTCACAGGTTCACTTGGAAGAATTCTTCAGCTGGATGTGGTGGAACATGCCTGTCATCCCAGCACTCTACGAAGGTAAAGCAGGAAGATTGCCAAGTTCAAACCCAGCCTGTGGAATTTAGCAAGTTAGTGAGACCCTGACCCAAAATAAAAATAAAAAAGACTAGGGAAGTATCTCAGTGCAAAGGCCCTGGATTCAGTCCCCACGATTTTTTTTTTTTTTTTTTTTTTTTTTTTTTTTTTTTTTTGGTGGAACCAGGGATTGAACTCAGGCCCTTGCACTTGCCAGAGAAGCGCTTATTCTACTGCGCCATCTCCCAGGCCCGAGAGTCCCCACTATTAAAGAAAAAAAAATAAAAAATAAAAAAATAAAATAAAATACAAAGTTCTCACTAAAACCTTTTTCTTTTCTTTCTTTCTTTCTTTTTTTAGACAGGGTCTCCCTATACAGTTGAGGCTCATACATACTCAGATTAGCCTTGAACTCACAGTATCCTCCTGCCTCAGCTTCCTGAGTGCTGGGATTACAAGAGTGTACCACCATACTGTGCTACTAAGCTAGTACTCCCCCCCCCCCCCCCCCGTGTTCCATTCTTTTACTGCTTTGCAAGCCAGGCTACATGGTGAACTCAAGGCCAACCTAAACTACACAGTGAGACCCTGTCTCAAAAAAACAAAAAAATAACGCTATTTTTCCTTGTTTCGCCGTGGATGTACCAGCAAAGCCAGACACATTTCATGCACAAACGCACATATGCTAGATGGGTACTGAGGACAGGCAGCCTCCTCCAGCTTGCTTCTCTACCGGTGCCAGTCCTTATTCAAAACCCTCTGGATGGCTTCTCTCTCCTTTGGACAGCATAGTCCTGGCCTGTACGGTACACACTGCGCACACCACCTGCAAATGCTCTGGGCTGTTCACAGGCTGTTTCCTCCTCTGCTTTGAACATCTCTCCTCCCTCCCCACCACTGACCAGCCTAAGCATTACCCCTCTCCGAATACCTAATAAGCTTCCTCTTGCAATAGGTCTTCCTGGACCAGCTCCATTCCCTCTGGCAGCCAAAGCATCCAAGTGTTCTCCCACCTCATTGATTGGTTTGTCCCATGTTACTACAGCTCCTACCAGTAGTTTGTCTCCTGCTAGATCCAGACTTGCTCCTTTAGATAGGAATGCTCTTCTCTTAACAAATGCCTCCTCTGCCTCGGAGAAGATCCCCTGATCATCCTATTGAAAACACCCAGCGTCCTTCTTTCCCTCCCGGAGTCCCTCCGCGGCACAGCGGCAGTGTACAAATCTATTTGTGGAAGGTCCCTCCCAAGTGTGAGCAGCTCTGGTTCACCGTCGCATTCTCACCACGCACATCACAGCACGCAAAGGCTCCTCATCAGCCTAAGACACAAAAGCGCATGGCATGACCGCGAGTGCAGGCGAGCCCGCGCCGGGCTGGATGGTGTCCAAGACCAGCTCTAAGGGCAAGAAGCCCGAGACCGCTCGGGGAGCCTGGCGACATCGCTGCCGGCAGCACCTCCGCTGTCCCCACCTGGCCTACCTCGGCGTCGCGGTTCAGACGGTACACGTAGAGCTGCGAGGTCCCCGCTACCACGAGGTTGCGCTCGCTATTGTTGAAGAAGTTGCAGTACATCGCGAACTCGAGGCCGGTTGGCGGGTGCGCCTGCTTGTACACGGCGTACATGGCGCCGTCACCGCCGCTGGGGCCCGCTCGGTGCGCCCACTGGGAACCTTGATCGCGGCGACTTCGCCGAGCAGCACGGAAGCCAAGCTCTAAGAAGCCAGGCTCCGGCACCTGCGCAGTGCGCCCAGCGGGAAACAAGCAACTCGGAGGACCTGGACGGTGGCGGACTGGGCCCGGCCGCTTTCGAAAGCCGAGTCCCAAGGTTCCGTGCTCGCCCAGAAGTTCCCGTCTCCAGTACCTTCAAGGCCCGCCAGGGGGAGCGAATGCAGCCTAACAGCGGCCCCTGCCGGCCGGCGGAAGTACCATCGGCTGGGGCTTGGGAGCGGGGTCTTGCATTAGAGCAGCGGGGTTAGTTGTGATTGTAGGCTAGAGCGGCAAGGCACATGTGTCCTGGCCTCGGTGTCCTAGAAGGGCATGGGAACGTGTTTGTGTCGCACCCAAACCCTCCCGCTTCTTCAATGAGCAGTGAGCAAAGTGCAGTTTGAATACCGTGGGTGATGAGTGATCCCTGATCCACACTCAAAAGCAAAACAAAATAAAACAAAAAACCTTAAGAGTTAAAAACTGGAGAGCTGGAGAGATAGCTCAGTAGAATAAGCGCTTGCCTGACAAGCGCGGGGTCCTGAGTTCAATCCCCGGTGGCACACGCCTTTAAGCGTGGCTGTTGAGATGGCTCAGTGGTCTAAAGCACCTACTTAGAATAAGCTTTAGCAAACCACAGAGACCATGGTTCAATCCCCCAGCACCACATGTCAGCCAGCCCCGCCCCCTGGTGGGCTGAGCTGGCCACGCACACACACATAAATAGGTTTAAAAA